TAGAGGAGGATGAAGAAGAGATAGAAGGTGAGGAGGAGCAAGGAGATGAAGAAGAAGAAGAAGAGGAGGAGGAGGAGGAGGAGGAGGATGGGGACGAAGGAGAGGAGGAAGGTGAAGAGGAGCAAGGAGATGAAGATGATGAAGATGAAGGGGAGCAAGGAGATGAAGAAGAAGATGAGGAGGAGGAGGAGGAGGAGGAGGAAGGTGAAGCGCAACGAGAAGATGAGGAGGATGAGGAGGAGTAGTCATACAAGTGATTTAGAGAAGGAAGACAGTGAAGGAGCGAATGGCGACTGCCCAAAAGATGAAGAGGAGGAAGCACTCAATGAAAAATCGGAAGGAACGAAGAGGCAGATAGCAAGTGGAAGGAGGCTATAGTTGAAGAGATTAATGGAAGCTTTTGAATGAGGAGATGTGTAATGAAGGTGTGGAGAAGCTTGACAAGTGCACTGATGGGTGGCAGTCCACCCAGCCGTAGGAAGTAGAAAGGTTAGGTAATGGTTGAAATCGAGCGGACGGGAAAAGTAACCATAGGCGTTCCTCAACAGTTCCACTCTCTCGAATATTTTGGATGCGTCCGTTAAAGCACACATAAGTATTGGACACCTTAGCACATTTAACTGCTCTCTTTAGACTTTAAACATACTGTATTCGAGCACACATATACCACCCTAAATGTCTCCTTAATTGATACATGCCAAGTCCCGTCTGGAATTGTTTCGTCCTTCTTCTGAGTCAGTTCTATGTTTCGCCATCTTCCTCTTCCTCCCTCACCACTCTTTCACATTGATCTCCAATTGACGCGCCTTGGTGTGTGTTAATCATGCGGCATGGTTGGGGTGGGGTGAATGTGTGATGCGTGAAAGGATCTACTCTGACTGATGCGTCTGTAAATGCTTGAGATTGTGGAGACATAGATGATGATAACTATAAAGGGGAGAGCACATCTAAGTAAACAGATGGTTGTTTTGAGCTTAAAATCTCAAGGTCGCACTAAGCCTCTGCGGCTAAAAGGAACGTGGCAAAAGCTTTGTGCTTCGAACTATTGTATGAAGTTGGGAAGACTCTGGTGATAGCAAGCTTGATGGAATAGACAGTGGAACCTTGCTTGTGGTAGAGTGTCCTAAGGAGACACGCGAATTCAGCACAAAAAAAAGATACCCAAGAAGGAAGAAAGCAACCTAGTGGATAAGAGCTGCACACGCAGGTTATATTAACTCACGAGAAAGAGGGTTAGATAACAATTTGCCTGTTCGGCTTCCTTTATGGATGGTTGCCACTTAGGCGGTGGTCTAGCTTTTGCTACATGGGCTTGCCTTCAGGACATTTTAATTGTTACCGCTATCTACCATGAGTAAATGTGTAGTTAGGCAATGATTGTGCTTTCTTTTGGATGGCTCGAAGTTGCTGGAGGGCGCAAAAATTATAAAACAATTTTCCAGTACGCATGGTGCTCTAACCCAAAAAATATGTACTATAAGATTTAAAATTAAGTAACTAAGCATTTTGGCTTGTAAAAAAATAAAATTTTTTAATTAAAGTGGTTTTGGCACTGAACCGTTGTGCAATAAAATGGTTTTAATTAACCAATTCTAAAGGGTCTTTGTACCTTGATGGCCGGTAGCATTAAAAATCAGTCTGGAATTTGTCTGTGGGGCCGCTGGGGATGAGCGTATGTGTATTTGTGTTCTGGTCTTTAATTATCTGAGATTTTCGATTGCACTCTGTCCACATAAGTGTCGCTTTAAACATGCTATAGTAATCCTAGAGAATCTATGGCGTTTTTTTGCTGTCAGGTTTCCGACACTGCCCTCACGGATTTCGAGTCAATTAGATCAGACAATTCTGCCGGTTCGAGTGCAAATACCATCGAAATCCCGCTACGCGGGGGTGACGAAGTCATTGAACTGGACATAAATCAGTTGCCTGATGGGGAGGAGGTTATCAACATTCTTACTCAGGAGGTTGCTCCACTTCCTGTTTGGATCAACATCGCTTTGGCCTATTACAAGAAGAAGCTCTTTGACGACTTTGAAAAGGTTCTTGAGGAGGCCAAGCAAAATGTCTCGAATCTGCAGCCCTACAACGAGATGGATTTCCTCCATCTGCTGGACATGCTAGCTATCTTCTGTGTGAAAAAGGCCTCAAGGCAGGTCGAAATTCGTTTTCTTAACATCATTTACCTATCTATGTAGAGAAAATAACAAGGAAAAGCGTACACAGTTGATTGCGAGGGCAGCTACCCTGTTTACTTCTGGTGATAGAATAACAATGTACGAGCAAAAGCACCTTCTGGGACGTGCATTTTATTTCATTCACGAGGGCGAAAAGTTGAATCAAGCTGATAATCAACTGAATTTTGTGCTGAATCAAGGGTCGCCGGTTGTACAGGCCTATCTAGGCAAAGCCTGTATTGCTTTTAACAGACAGGAATATAGAAATGCTTTGGCTTTTTATCGCAAGGCCTTACGGCTTCAGCCAAACTGCTCGCCATCGGTGCGTTTGGGAATCGGACATTGTTTTGCGCGCCTTGGCAATTCTCAGAAGGCAAGGTTAGCATTTCAGAGAGCTTTGGATTTGGATGTCGAGAGTGTTGAGGCTCTCGTCGGACTGGCGGTCCTAGATCTAAATGAAAAGACTCAGGTATGTCATATTTTTGCTTTGTCATCAGCGCATTTTTTTGTGACTTTATAGGAGTCGATTAAGCAGGGTGTTCAGAAGCTATCAAAGGCCTACAATTTGGATCCCACGAATCCCATGGTTCTGAACCATTTGGCAGACCATTTCTTTTACAAAAAGGAATATGATAAGGTTCATCAGCTTGCGATGCATGCCTTCCACAACACAGAGAACGAGGCGATGCGTGCTGAGAGCTGCTATCAGATGGCTCGAGCTCTTCACGTTGAGGGAAACTATGACAAAGCCTTTCAGTACTACTATCTGGCCACCCAGTTTGCCTCTCCCAACTTCCTCCTTCCTTTCTACGGTCTTGGTCAAATGTACCTCCACCGCAATGACCTCGAGCACGTGAGCTAAAATGGCCCTATTTTTTTTGGCGTTTCCCAACTTGCACTTTGAATATCCATGGTTTTGTTGGTAGGCGGCTATTGCTTTTGAGAAGGTTTTGAAGGCCTATCCGAACAATTACGAGACATTGAAGATCTTAGGCAGTCTCTACGCCCAATCCAACAAGCTGGAGAAGCGGGCTCAGGCTAAGCAACTGTTTAAACAGGTGACAGAAAGTCAGCCGGATGATGTGGAGGCGTGGATTGAATATGCACAGTTGTTAGAAAACGATACATCGGGAGCTCTGAGTGCCTACTTAAACGCACTCAACATTCTTGAAAATGTTCAATTGGAGGTGTCTCCCGAGATTCTCAACAATATTGGCGTCCTCTACTTTATGAAGGGTGAACACATTAAAGCTGATGTAAGTTTGCTTTTCTTGAGTTGATTTTGAGGCGGCTGGAGATCGCTGGGATTTGGAGCCCATCACAAAACAGCTCAGTGCCCTTGAACCACAAAGTTTGCTCCCCTACTACAGTTGCGCTCAGCAGCAATCCAGCCGCAGCTTGTAATTAATACAAAAATAACGACAATATGGTCTACTATTGTAAACTAGCTACTATTTTAAGTCACAAATGTTGGGATTGGTAATGGCCGTTCTAGTCAAATAAGAATGTCTCACATTATTGCTGTTCATTACTTTTTAATCAGTGATTGCACAACTTCAGCTAATGGAAGTTAAGGCAGATTTTAGTCTATACCATTCTGTCTTGCTGACTGTTTGTTGAGTTACTGAAAGTAAAAAAAGTGTCGTATGCTTGTGTTGCATAGACCTTTTTAAATCGAGCCTACGACCGGATTCGTGAGGAGCAGCTGCAGGAGGAGGAGGCGGCTGGTGGAATGGATGGTGAGGGACGGGTCTCTCACCTCCAATATCCTGCTCCCCTGATGAGCACAAGTACTGCCAACGCAATTTTGGAATTGCATCGCCGCACTACCACTATAGGTAGTGGTGATTCTGCTTCTGCATCAGCTGGCGGTGGTGACAACTACTATCATGACCTTGCTGTCACTGTGCGTTACAACCAAGCTCGTCTGCATGAAGCCATGAACCGTCCTGATCTCGCAGAAGCGGCTTACAAGTCTATTCTCCTTCAGCATCCCACCTACGTGGACTGTACGTTCTTCCGCTCAACTTTAATACAGTAGCGATTTCTTATTCATATGGCATAATTTCAAGGAGGGGAATTGAGCTCGTATTACCATTGAATTGAAGTTAACTGATGACTGGATGTAACAATGCTTATTTAATACCTTTAGGAAGTGATTTAGTGACCGAAGTTGGGAAACGCTGTCGGTGGTATGGGCAAAATCATTTTTGACTACGAATAATGTAGGTATAGTATTGGAACGAGTACCACCTAGTCTAAAGTTCCCCATTTGAAGCGACTTTTCTCCACTTAAGCTGCACGCATCTACGAGGCAGTAGGTTAGGAGAATTGGTTAATTGCTTGGATGTCGAAGATACAGCAGTAGTAGTTCAGACCACTGGTATGGCTTACATGCTATTGATGGATAGTGTTTGGGATTATAAGACTTTTCATGGGGTACGAGTAGTGTAATAACGGAAGTTGAGTCGCTACCATCTATTTCTCTGATAAATGAAAAGTGTCACCTCTGTTTGATGCATTCTTTAGGCTACATGCGCCTGGGCTGCATAGCTCGCGATCGAGGTCAACTTCGCGACGCTTCTCTGTGGTTTCGCGAGGTGCTTGAGGTGAATCCCGACCAACCGGATGCTTGGAGTCTTCTGGGCCAGTTGCATCTCTCCCGCGGTGAGGTGGAGGCAGCCCAGCGCAAGTTTGAACGCATCATTCGTCAGCCCAAGTATCGCGCTGATGCCTACTGTCGCATTACTCTGGGCAATGTGTGGCTTCGTAGTCTCCATCATCATCATTATCACAATCGTTATAATGCCAACGCCAATCAGACACAGCAACAACAGCAGCAACAGGGTCGAGACAAAGACCGGCGGCGTCGACATGAGGAAAGAGCACTGTCCTGCTATAAGGCAGTGTTGAGTGCAGACCCGCGCAACATTTGGGCCGCCCACGGTATTGGCTGCGTGCTGGCACACAAGGGTTTCATCAACGAGGCGCGCGATGTGTTCGCTCAGGTGCGAGAGGCAACTGCGGATTTCCCCGATGTGTGGATGAATATCGCACACGTCTACGTTGAGCAGAAGCAGTATACAGCGGCTATTCAGATGGTGCGTGAGTGTACAGACACGCTCTACCTTTGACCAGAAACTAATTGGTCGTCAAAATTGTTTCCATAACCCACGCATGGGAGAGTTTTTTGTGTGATTTTACTGTACTTGAGGAGGGATGTGGTAAAGTGGGAAATCAATCAAAGTTAACAGGTTTTTTTTTTCACTAGCTAATCCAATTTCCAGCCTTGAGCAGGGGCCATCCTCTCTTTGCTGGGTATTTACAGCCTCATCAATTAGTGGCTTGTTCCCTTGTTTTTTTTGTTTCAAAATCAAAATTGGTTCTGGTAGCTGCGTAATTGCGTTGTTGAATTAAAG